CCCTTATACAAGACTTCTTACCTGCCACTTCCAGCAATCTTTGTCGAATGAAGCTGACTTTGTTTACAAACTCCACATCCCGTGAGCCCAGGTCGCGCAGCATGGCCTGTTTGGTGGTGAGACTGACCCCCAGTGGCCCAGGTGTGAACAGCTTCTTGTCTGCAGGTAGAGAGGAGCCTGCCTTCTCTGCTGCTGGGGAGTGGTTACCATTGGAAATGGCAGCATTTGCTTGTCTGTTGAGTGGCATGGTGCCCAGTTGGTACAGCTAAAGGGTTTTCTTATCCTGGAAGTAAAATAGAGCAATGTTAAATCTACTGTCAGAACAGAACTGGATGTGAAAAGGCTGGGCTGCCTGCAGGTATAAATAATTCCAACCAGACCAACAGAAGGATGGGAAGTTAATTTCGGCCTCGGTACATTTCGGTCCCATATGGATAAAAATGCACTGAGACCGAAATTAACTAAGGGACCTTAATATAATGAAGGGACTGAAATGCAAAAAAAAAAAGAAGATGGAGTATACGTTAAATGCTTCTTGAGCAGATACAACACCAGGAATGAAAGACTTGTCTTATCCAACGTCTGCAGCTCAGACAAAGGAACAGGACAGGTTTAACCCGTTAGACAGGATGGTCTCCTTTCTAGCAGGACATTTACCAGGGTAGCACAAAGAAATGCACTCAACCGGAAATATCCTGCTAGAAAGGAGACCATCTTGTCATACAATGGAGTTATATTTGAAATATTGTATATAATTATATAAAAACCCACTGGTCCCGGGCCGGGGTTCGAAACCACAACCTCCCGGGCCCCAGTCAGACACTCTAACCTCTCCGCTAAAAGGTCTAGACCCGTTTGCCGGATCTGTTGGTAGCGCCTATAAACCCCCCACTGTTACACTACTCCCCCTTTTCTTTTCAAGATTCGTCCTCGGATCTTCCGAATTCGACATCCCTGGAGCGGCCGAAAATTCATGCGCGCACGGATGTCTTCCATATAGTAGAATGTCCTTGATATACTAGTAATCAAATCAACATGGCCTAATCTAGCTATAGGTTCCTGATACCAGCAACTTTAATTCTAAGGGTCAGACAAGGGATTTGTTGCCTGGGTTGTTGAGCTACTTCAAAATTGACAAACTCACTCCATATGCAAATTACAAAATATTTGCATCTGGTTGCTATGGCACAAATGAGAATAATAAGTGCATGTTCACACTTCAGTCCAATCCTTTGTTCTTGAAAAAGTTGGATTCACTGTGAAACAATGTAAAGATCACATAAATCAATGTCATTATTCTGGTGCTGACAACTGACAAAACTTTGTTAATAGTCATTGTCTTTTACGTTTTTGCAGTTTTCACTGTTAATTTTTGCTATCAACACATTGAATTATTCATTGCTTGAAACATCAACCAGTGTGGTATGTTGACTATGACATTTGTGGCTCCTATGGTATCATTTGGGTCTATCATAGCGTGGACGACTCTGGTAACTTTTTGCATGATAATGCCGGCATTATCATGCAAAAAGTTACCAGAGTCGTCCACGGCTAGGTCTATCATAAAATGCATGTAACTCCGTTGCTCAAGACTAAGAAATTACTAACGTTAGTAACGTTACATGTAACGTTACATGTAAACTGGTAACTGTTATAATCATACATGCAAAATTTATAGTGTACATAGACTCTGTTCAAGGTGAATAGAGACCCAGTCATTCACCAACGTGCACGGTGCTATTACGCAGCTATTAAAGGCGCAAAGATCAGTAGTTTGACTCTCCCACCTTGAACCACACACGGTATTTGGAACAGATCCATATCAACGAGACCGTTACAACTAAAATTTCAAAACGCGTTACGACAGAACGCTTCAAGCTCAGCCCTCCGGCCGGACCGGTTTGAAGGTCACGGGCACTGGCCGGTTCCTTCCAAATAATTTCTAGCCTTCTTTGATAAGTTTTTGAGAAATATGCACTCATATAACGTTACACGTTGTATAATTTTTATCATCACACTCCAGGGTTATTTTGGATACTGTAGATAATTTCCTTCACTTGACACTCTTGGTTGTTTATTCAAGGCCGCCATTAATTATGTCCGCGTCGCCGCACCGTGGTCAGCCCTGGCCTAGTTAGGGACACATCGCCTTGAAGTTACACCGTTACGCAGTATATATCTCTCCAGTATTTATGCAAACGTATCTTAATACTTGAATTAGCATCGCATTATCAAGAAAACGACTGACGTGAAAATAAGAAACAACCAACCGTAATCCGACCCCGGGCCCTTCCCGAGCTGCCTGTATTCTGAGCGAGGACCCCGACCCAGTTTCTGTCCCGTTCACGTGTACACTTGGATCCTAATCCCCTCCCACACCAATATAAAGGGCCCAATGGCAAAGCCGAACAGCATAAACTTGACATGGTTGTTACTTTGAACTTTCTCAAAAGATAATTAGATGACGGAAACCATCATATGTGTTGAAATATAAGGCATAATATATTTGTGTACGACATGGAATGAATCCTGTATACTGAATCCGGTATACTGTTATATGACACCAAGCCTATATCGCATACGGTCTGATCACGTGCAGCATGCATGATCTGATTACGCGGGAAGCGACCTTTCAACTCTAAACCCAATCTCTTATCACGCATGCGTCCTGACCTCGAGCCAATTTTTCAGTTTTCCTGAGTCACTTTCCTCTAACGTTTGCGAAGATTTTACTTCATCTCTCTTTTTTTCAAATATCGCTAACAGTAGCCACAAGTAAAGATGAGCTCTATAGGAACCGGGGTAAGTGTCTAGTGTTATATTATGCTGCCAGCTGTACGTTGTTTTAGATGAAATGTTAGCAAAAACCAAGCATGTTTCCGTGCTATACACATGTAATTTTCTGTGCCCCCCTCCCACTTGTGCACACATAAATTCAGAGAACGTATAAGATATTCCACCATTTTTTGCTCAGAAATGTGTGTTAGTTACATATCATGCTCTCAGAAATTTGTGTTAGTTACATATCATGCTCTTGATGACAGCTTGAAAAGTTGACAATTATGGGTTTTTGTTAATCATTAGGAAGTTAGAAAATAATTGGTTACACATACCCTCTACCTCTCCACAAAAAATTAGGTGGTAGGTGTAAGACCAAAACAGAAGTCTGTATATATTATATAGCTGACAATCTGTCCTCTACTCTCCACAATAACCAGTATGACCTGTCAGCATCGCAGTTCTCTCCTGATGGCAGAGTGTTCCAGGTAGAATACGCCAACAAGGCAGTGGAAAACAGTGGGTAAGTAAAATGAACCAAGTAAAATATGTATTGCTTGTGTGGAAAAGCTCATGTGCACAATATTATTCAACAAAATTTCAAGGATGTCAGTTTGGAAGGAATATTATCTGGGTGTCATTACCCATATAGCTTTTATTAGTGAAACTTTGGTTACTTCACCCATTCCGTTCATATTTAGCTTATGAAAAAAATCTCAACTTCAAACCTTGCATGCACATGTATGTTCATACCTCCTTAGTATATGTAACCCTGACAAGACAGGGAATAACAGATTTTTTTATCTTTTTTAACTTAATTACCATTTACAATACATAATTACACAAAGTATAATAAACACATAATAATGCATACGAGAACAAATAAGAGTTTTGTAGTGTTGAGGAATTATAGAGATAGTTGTTTAGAATATTGCCATTGCCAGACATGGAATAACGGATGAATATCTAGACATGCAGTGAGGGATTGGTTAGTAGCAAGACAACATTAACTTTTATTCTTGTTTTGAAAATAAACAGGCTGTATGATACTTCCAAGAAAAATAATAGAACCTAGATATTCTTATTTCATAAGCTAAAAAGCATGTACAGTGCTAAGATTTAAGTAGATGTGATTTTTTTCTCCTGTAGGACTGCTGTTGGCATCAGAGGGAAGGATGGTGTTGTCTTTGCTGTGGAGAAGTTGGTTCAGTCCAAGCTGTACGAGGCGGGAGCAAACAAGAGGATTTTCAATATAGATAGGCACATTGGCATGGTAAACATGTAGCTCTTATTTGTATGTTTTGTTTCTATTCAGCATTCCTTGTATTTCTCTGCTTAGTTATAGCATCAGCACTTTGACTACAGAACAAACTATTACTTGTCTCTTAAAAATTAACTTGCCATTGTTAACAAAGTCTTGATTCTTCCCTTTACAGGCTGTAGCAGGTCTTCTTGCTGATGCCAGACAGGTAAATATTGTTTTACCGTTATGCTTAGCACTTGTTTTAAATTCCATTTTCAAGCCATTGGTCAGATCTTGTAAACCATTCTTTAAAGAACACTTTACAGATGTAGTGCCTATTGTATATAACTGTACTTGTGTTTCATCATGTTTTGTTCACATTGTGCATACAGATATCTGAGATAGCCAGAGATGAGGCCAGTAACTTTAGGTACAACTATGGTGGGGCCATTCCATGCAAGGTCAGTATAAATTCTGATTTTATACTAATTATAGATTCAGGAAAGACAGGACTTGGATTACCTGGAGCTTGACTGGACATATTGAAGCAAATGCATATATTCTATAGCCAACAAATATGAAGACTAATGTTTACTCCACTTTCTTGTAGGGAGCAAATAATGAGTATGCCAGGCTTTTCTTTTTCAGCGATTGGTATAACCAAAATGTTTGTTTTTTTTTAAATTCTGTAATATACTGTATACATGTACATGTATTAGCATATAACCACTTGTCTTCTTTCTTTGTTCTCCAGAACCTGTCAGACAGAGTGGCCATGTACATGCATGCCTACACTCTGTACAGCCATGTCAGGCCATTTGGGTGCAGGTGGGTTACTATATCATTCCATGCTACCCAAAATATATCTAACAGTCCAGCAGGAGCAAGTGCTAATCATTCAGAGGGAGAGTCCTTTGAATATCCCAGGAAATTTTTAGTTTATACTAAAGTAATTATAGTGGTATAAATTATGCATATGCAGAAATCTCGTCATCTTAGGAATAATTCAGCACATTACCTGCAGTATGTAGGAAAATTTATGTTGAGTGGTTCAGACTCTCAAAATTAACTAATCCTTCATGCATGTGTATACTGTAGCCTTTGTTTAATATCTTATTGGCGTATTGTGTGTTTCAGTGTGATGCTTGGATCATACGACAAAGATGATGGACCACAACTGTACATGATGGATCCATCAGGAGTCCACTGGGTCAGTCAATGTGCTTTTCCTTTGAACTTTGAGCAACACAAGACAGTGTATGGACATGTGTAGAGCACCAACATATTTGTCTACACACAAGGATCTTAAGCTTGTAATATCAACCTAACTAAAAGCTGGACAATACTATTTTCTCAGAAAGACTGCTGCTGGTTGATATGCATACATTTTAGTGCCTTGATATGTGGATAGGTAATATTGGGCATTACAGATGTTCAAGTTTGTAAAAATTGTAACTGATTGTTAAAACATGTATTTTCATTCTTTAATTACAGGGTTATTATGGCTGTGCCATCGGCAAGGCAAGGCAGGCAGCAAAAACAGAGATAGAGAAGCTGAAGGTACTGTCGCTTTGAAAATTATCCAGTGAAGTCACTAAGGTGTGTGTCCTAAATAGTATTTTGGGATATGACTCCTTTTGTAATTTGAAGAATTGATCTCACTGTTACAATATACATGTACCCTGATACCTGATATCTTGCCTCGACTTGCATGGGTAGATATAAATATACATTGAAAACTTTCCTTTAATATGGGCTGTAATTGTGTAAAAATATATTCAGTAGCAGTTGCCTATGTCACACACCAAGACAGAGAGTAAGAGTACTGTTTTATTCATGCCATAAATTTTTGCCCTCTACAGATGACAGACCAGTCTTGCAGAGATCTGGTGAAAGAAGCAGCAAAGATGTAAGTTTTCTTTTTTCTTCTGCATGCTTCAGCATGCTGAGCGTTGGGATAAAAAAGCACATTTTCACATTGAATTTTACTTTTCCAGCCAGAATCTGCTGAGTTGTGAATTGAAGATTTGTGAATGGGAAGTTTCTTATGTTACAGTAATGAAATGAAAGTTGACCATTTCAATTTTATGCCCTGTAGCATCTACATTGTCCATGATGAAGTGAAAGACAAAGCCTTTGAGTTGGAGCTGAGTTGGGTCGGGGACGGTAAGTAGTCAGTACTTTCACTTCTCCCAGCTGTCTTCAAAATGTCGTATGATTATTGATTTTGACAAATACAATGTGTTTTCTATGGGGAAGACCATCATTTGTATTACATGAACTACCCAGGTAGCATGTTTTTGCTATGGATCTTACAATATTTTTATCTAGTTAATTGAAATTTTTGGTGAATATTAATGCCTGTTCAGAAAGATTGATAGTAAATTCATACTGCTACTGTGATAAGTCATGTTTCGTGTTCCTGTAGTGACCAACGGAAGGCATGAGATGGTACCAAAGGACATTGTGGTAGAAGCAGAGAAATATGCAAAGGTATGCTGTTGATCCTCTTCATGGCCAATAAGTATTTCTCTGTTTGATTTTTTGGAGATGAGTGCTAAAATTGTGGTTATAAATCATGTACATGTGTACAATGTAACCATAAACTCCCGGTACTGTACACCATCATTAGTAAAAAGGTGAGAAAAATGCAACTCTGAATGTTGATGTTTATGTTTTGATTTTTTGTCCTTACAGGAGTCTATGGAGGAGAGTGATGATTCTGACGAAGAGGATCTGTGATGTGTCAGGCACACAGACATGATGACATGACTGTCAATAAACTTAGTAATGAGCCCCACATGCTGTAGGAACCTGGCTCTCTCTGATATATGAAATGAGCCCATGTAAATATTCTGGTGTTTTGTTAAAGTCAAGATAAAAATGGAACCTTTATAAGACCCGTGATACACAAGTATGGCCTTTCACTTAACATATTGTCCAACAGTTGGTAACATTACAGTAGTAAGGAAGCTGTCCATTTTGCATTATTGATACATGTACCTGTAATGAATCCTTTTTCACATGAATGCCACATTATCATTCTACACTATTTCCACACTAGGCATGTGACACTCCCTTGTCATACTTTGATAGTAACAGCTACTGGCAGCTGAAAGTCTTTGATACATTGAGAGCAACAACTTTAGTGGTCCACCTTAAGGGTGACTGACAATACTCCAGTTAACTGTGCTGTAGAGGGGATGTTTAGTGCAGGATAAGCTCTTACCATGCACATGTATGGTCTCTGCTTGACCTTTTGAATTAAATATGATGTCCTCCATTCATCTGTCTGGGTGTCTCTCCTTTATTTGGAATGTCAGGTAAAGTTGATACATTTCTCATGTGCATGCTAGCATTGTAATGTTGCGACTCAATTCAAAGATCTGACCTTCACCAAAGTGTAAACTGAGTAGAATTGAAAACATTCTAGCTAGACCAATTTATTATGGGTTTGGCCCCTGGGCCGGGGCATACGTAAAGGAACTGTCTTGGATTCAGTTTCAAAGTAATGAAAGATTGTTACACTTACTGAATGTAACATTGATTATGTCACAATCAGTAGAAGTATACCGGGAGCTGTGCTCTGGAAAACCAGGCATTCCGTTGGCTGAGAAAAGGAATGTTAATGCACATTGTAGTAAAATGCATAGCACATCAAAAACATAGATGCCACACACGTTAAGGTCAAAGGTCAGAAGCTATAAATGGCGCCCACATTTTTGCCGAGGCGGAGATGTGCTGGCTGTGGAGTACATGTAGAACGTGCCATGTCGCTTTGCCAAGTGACAGGTGTGTCCGATCCTGACCTTCTGGGGACAAAAGGTAGCTAAGTATCTCATCAGTCAGTTAGAAAGAGATAAACTGTCTACGTACGAAGAGATCGTTGGAGATGAAAATTATTATGGTCTGACAAACCGTTTGGGTCACTGGGTACACAATCGCCATTTTGTCGTCTGCTATGAGTGTGATGTTTTAATTAATTGTGACAATTGACGGATATCCGGACCGGGTGTACCAGTCGTGGTAGCATTTATTTCTCAGGAGTCCTTGTAATCCGTAAACGGCCAGAGAAATGAAGATTCGGTTCGGTCTAGCTGCCTTCATCGATGAGGGCTACTCCGTCGCGGTGGTGGGGTCGCTCTCGCGGCTTGGCTCGTGGAACCCCGACGGCAGTCTGCCTTTGCACCCCGTCATTCCGCCCAAGGCCAAGGAGCCGTCCTTCTGGACGTGCGACGTGGACCTGTTCGGGGAAGGTTTGCCAGATCGGTTCCAGTACAAGTTCATCCGGCGGGGCCCTGCAGGAAAGGGGAGTGACGAGAAGGGGGAGGGGGACATCGTTCCGCAGTGGGAATGGGAGGGATGCGGGGAAGGGCACAACCGCACCTGGGAGTATCAACAGGTAACGTTTGAAAATACATGTATAAAATAATTAATTTAACTCCCATCTGTCCATTATGCATGCTGAACTGAGCTGACAATCAAACCAGAACCAAGGTTATACATTTGTACCTCCTTGCCAGAACAAATACTTGTCCATAGCAACGGTAATGCTCTTGGCAACGGTGATGAACCTGGCAAGAGAAGTCTATGTACTGACATGTCTCCCAGTATTTCATCAGGAACATTGTTGCCGTAATGTTACATGTAATGTTATATTCCAATATTTATAGTTTGGAAGCTAGTGTTATAGTAACATTGTGGGAACAATTTTTATCTTCAGGAAAATATCTTGGGTGGAGTCCATTGCAACCCTGTGGCACGCTGGCAGGATAAGGCAGGAGAAACATCTGAGTTTGATCTGACAACCCGGTTCTTCTTCTACCTCCTGGACCACCAGCTGTTCCACTACAGTGAGATTCTGGACAACGTGTGGCTGGGCTCCTGCCCCAGGACTGCTGAACACATCACCAAGGACATGAAGCAGGTAGTTTTGAACAGTCACATGCCCACTATTTCAATGATGTGAACTTACCTCACCAGTGAGGAACTATACACACAAGGAAACAATTCTGGTGAGGCAATTTTTTAACAGGAACTGAATGTCTGCAGTAGAGGCATGTATGATGTCAGGCCCACATATGTGTCATAATCATTACCAGGTAAAATAAGCTCTAACAATGTTGTCTTGATATTCCTGCAGCATGTAATCCCTGTTTTCATTCTCCCCAAGGTGATGGGCACAACTGCTGTGATGAACTTCCAGATGGACTATGATCTCTGGAACAACAGTGCTGAATGCTGCCCACCTGCTGCAGACGTGCCACGCTACATATATGATGTCTACAGGTAACGTTACATCAATACCAACCCCTCACTGGTATCTCAACAGTTGCTTGAATCAGGTCTTGTACAATGAGCCTTGCAAGTGCCTCACCATTTTAGTATTTCTCTCTACCCCTCAGGAAAAATGGCATCTCCTATGTGTGGATGCCGACAGCCGACATGTCCACCGAGGGTCGTATCAAGCTGCTTCCCCAGGCTGTGTATGTACTACACGGTCTGCTGAGGTCTGGCCACAATGTATACGTGCACTGCAATGCTGGGATTGGCCGGTCAGTTGCTGTGGTTTGTGGCTACCTGATGTACGTGCTCGGGTGGAGCTTCCGTAAGATGCAGTATTATGTGTGCTCCAGACGACCGGTGTCCTACATCGATGAAGTTGCTCTGAAGGCAGCTGAAAAAGACTTTGCTACCAAGTTTGGCCGCCTGCCTGTTGAGTACTGAACTTTGAGACACATAAATTTTGCTGCAGTAATCTGACACAAGCTCTTCCTAACATTCAATCTCCCTGCTGAAATGTGATATTCCAGGTGCCTTTCAGTGCTGTTCATGAGCTGATGTGTACGACGAGTGTTCTACTACTTTTTATCAACTTGGCATATCATAGGGGAGAAACAGAACCCTTTCACTGCAGGTGAGCATGGAAATCAGATGTTGTATTTCTCTAGAGTAAAAGAAGACCTGTTACAATTGTGAGCAACATAAATGTCTGTTGCACATTAATTTATTATACCACACCTCATCCTTGCATTAATGTCATGATTATTGAAGATATTATCACTTTTTATACAACAATAATTTATGCATTCTACCATAGTAATATCATCAAGTTTAATCTTCCTGTGTCTTAATGTAACTACAATGCTGCTAGTTTCAAACCACAGTAGGCAATCATTAATACTGACAATCATCAGTGACAGGAAAAATGCAAGTTATAAAAAGATAAAAAAATTCTTGTCCTCTTATATTCCAAAAGAATGTTTTCACTCAGACTACAAAAACACACATCACTCAATGGCACTCAGTAAAGGAGCTTTCCAGGATCATACCTTAAAATGGCCCTCACAATACTCCCGGACCAAGTTTGATTGTGATATATCATTCATTACCTGGAAAACATTATCTAGAGTCTATACACGAATATGAATATATTAGCTTAGATACATAGGAAATAAAGTGTGTATTACTAGTGATGAACCGAAAACGCTGAAGACTTCTCACAGAAGCCCTATGCTCCCGAGTGAGCGAAGAGGACTAAGTCAAGTCAAGTCATAACTGGCCACAATGTGGCTGAAGATGTGCACCAGAAGGGTAGCAACGGATACCAGACTACACACAAAATCTTGTATGGAAGACTTGCAGATATAGTAGCATTGTATAACCAACATTGGCATAAAAGTTAGTTGCATACATTCATTTCTTGTATCCACCGCCACACAAGAAATTAAAATCAGGATTGAACTAACCTTTTCTTAGAGTAAGAGTTTTCATATAGGTTGACTTATAGAAAAAGATTACAACATTCTTTGGATAGCATATAAAACTGCTTACATCAATAAGATCTTGAAACAACTATGTTGAATTACCACATGTATTGTCATGTAAATATTTCTATGTGAGCTGATTTAATTGCACAGAACTGGCCATCACCAGTGTTATCACCAATTACCCCCAATACATACACCAGCTCCTGAGTGGCCAACTCCACATTTCTCAATAAGTAGCAGCACCCTTGCAAATATTTGACACATGACAGTTAAATTTTGAAAGGTGGTATACATACTAGACTGCAAACACCTTTAAGTTTTTAATATATGTCCCTCTACTTCATTGTAGAAGCTGGCACTTCTAAGAATTGTCACTGCATTTTATAAAACAAATGTGTCCAGAAGTGCCATCCCCATACCCTCACCACCAGAGTCTCAAGCAAAGTAATTTGTGGTCCTCTATAATGTTGCAAAGAAATGGTCTTTTCTGAACAACAGTTACATTAATACAACCAGGTAAAGCCTTTGGAGATTTGTCTTGTTCACATGTTCACCCTGAACTGCTCTTTCATATTACGGCTGTCCATCATCTTTGGAACTGTCAGCACAAAGTATTTAAACCCTTCTCAATGGCACAAAGTCTCTCCATATGTGTCTCCATTGTAGGTAGTCTGTTGATTGTCAAATGTCACCATCATAATAGCCATAGTAGTCAAGGATAGAGGCGATGTACTTGGGGAAGAACACTGATGTGGAGTAGACTGACATGGCTAGTACAACAGCAAGACAGCTATCTGGGGAGGAGTCAAGTTTTATGTCTGGCAGACAAAAATGTCATGAGAAGTCAGAAAATATGTGCACCTATCATAAAAATATGGCGTGTAGTGGGCATACAAAAAGTGATGCTTATACACATTTATTGAATGATAACTAATTTGATCACATTGTATTTAACAATTTGGACGGTTGGTCTCTGATAGCATGGGACAACTGGCAACAAGTCGATTTCAATTTGATTAGATATTTTATACTCCTACCTTAATTTTGAAGCTCCTTGCTCCTATTATTCTCCACAGATACAACAAACTTCTGTACACACTAAGATGGGCCTGGCAGAGTACTAGTATATCTGTATATGTGAGTTGGCTACGCATGAAAACACAAGGCAAGTAAATGATCAATCATGGTACTCGAGTTCGAGATGACATGATCTTACGTCATAGGCTCACCCGGCCCTGAAACTAACACAGACGAAGTATTTAGCCCAATTTACGAACTTCGATAACATCCTACAAGACCCAACCCCTATCATCTCATTTACTGTTACGACAAGGATACGGAATAGATGTCTCTCCCACGGCTGGAGCATGTAGAGCGCCGTGACGAGCAGATATCTGTAATACCACAGCTGCACCCAGTCTCGTACGACCTGAAACAGCGCCATCTTGAATCTTTGGAGCAAGTCATTTACTTACACTACTCGGGGAAGATATCATAATGTTTGTCTTGTTTATTATCTGACCTATTTTTCTATGTACATATACATTGTATCAGAACAAAATACTGATTTGAAACTCAACTTATGTAATACTTTAAGAACAATATTGTTGTTTTTCATGCCTAATATGCAGATTTGATCTTGTCAAATTCTCCCTTTTCTGTAATAGACCAGTCGAGTTGACTTCCGGCCATTTCTCCATTGAAGAACGCGTTGGCTGCAAGAACGCCGTTGAGACATGGACAGTCACAGATAAGGGTTTACTTTACGGTTTTTGAGTGGTAACATGAACAGTAGTTGGCCACTTGTTATGAAATACTATATTTGACACTTTAGAAGAGGATAACGCGTGAAAGATTTTTGGACGTCACCTCTACGTTTGGCGCGCACGTTGCTGACTACGATACGAACCGGTCACAAAGCTTAGTGTAGATTTGGTACAGAGAACTACAAACCAAAGGTAAAGCAGGGACTTTGGCGGTGTCCTGGATATAACCACATCGCAGGTATGGACGGGACACCCTTCAGACAGGACCAGCCACAGGGCCAGGTGAGGCCAGGTTTTCAGGTGGGTCTCTATTATGAGGTGGCGATGTCCTCAAGTTATAATTTGCTAAGAACAACATAATAATTTGATTTGCCTTGCAGGTTGACATGGTTTGTATGTATTGTTTCTGACAAAAGTACCGAACAAAATGGTAGTAAATGTTGTTGCTTCCATGTCTCCTATTGATATACACGTCATGATTGATGACACATCTTGTAACAGGTGAAATAAAGAATCGCATCACTTTACTACTAGATTGTCACAGGGCTCATAATGTAGCAGCATCCTTTCACTGTAAACAATGTTGTACCACCTTTGTTTCTCCAGGTTCAGCCCCAGTTTGGTGTGACGTACACCACCCAGCTGCCTCCCAGCCAGTTCCTCCCTCCTCCTCCACCGGCTTGTAAGTGACATTTGCATTTCAATCCTGTTAAATTTTCTAGAAAGCACAAAAGCAATAGTGCGAGAAAGAAACTCTAACTACCTGAACAAGTCAGTGCCACAGCCAAACAGTGAGCAAAATTTGTCACACCAAAGACATCTGACTTGTTCCTTTCCCCCCTAGCGGAGCCGATGTTACAAACCATGCCGACCAGTGAGCTGCAGAACCAGCCTGTGTCCGGAACCCTGGTGCCAGACATGACCACTGTACGCACACAGATGCACTACCAGCCTGGCCAGCAGCAGCAGGACAAGGCCAACAGTCAGAACAAGTCCCAGGAACATTCCCAGCCCGGCTCAGGCCTGACCCCGGGCTTCAGTAACACTCCAGGCGGGCCACATTCACACGTCAGTATTTGCTGCCTTCAACAAGTTATCTTTCAAATTACTATGTAGAAATTGTAAATTTGAACATTCAAACATGTATGTATGAGAATATTTTGGAAGTGGTCTGACTTGTACCTGTCCTCCCTGTTGCAGAGTCACTCCAGTTCTGGGGCCACGTCCTCCCTGTACCCAGCCACGCCCGCTCCCATGACCCCCATGACCCCTGCAACTCCAGCAGAGGGGTCCGGCATTGTTCCTCAGTTACAGTAAGTTATGTCATATAATGTTTGCTTATGTTCAACAACATTTTCTGACCATTGTGAAGGAACAAAAATAAAGAGGAGTACTGTAGGTGCAGCAGGTGTATATAACGTTACTGGGAAATTACAGGACAGCAGTGTGTGTGTAGAAGTAAGGGAATGACATATATTGTGTTGATCCTCAGGAACATTGTTTCCACTGTGAACCTGGGTTGCAAGCTGGATCTGAAGAAAATTGCACTTCATGCCAGAAATGCAGAGTACAATCCAAAGGTAACCATGTAGATGTTATACCACAGACTTCTGATGGATTGTAGTACATGTAGTTCTTGTATTTACTTGTACCAATACTGAACAAATTGCTTGGTATGCAGTGATGGATACTCCTTGAACTGGGCCATTGGGCAATCTAAGTGCTTCTTGTGTACATGTATTCCTACTAATCTGTTTTCATTTTGTCCTGACAGCGCTTTGCAGCAGTGATTATGAGAATCCGGGACCCGAGAACTACAGCGCTCATCTTCAGCTCAGGCAAGATGGTGTGCACAGGAGCTAAAAGGTATCTTAGCAATTTTTATAACTCTAGCACAGAAAAGATCATGGTTTTCAACACTCAAAAGAGAGAATCACACAATTGTTTAATAGACAATATAATGTCATCATCATTGGTCGATCATATTGGTCAGGGTTAGGAAGATACTCTTATTAGTTGGAATATGGATATGTCTGCTAATACATGTATCAAACATGAAGGTTGAATAATATTCTGGCAACAACTGTAACTTTGTGTGTTTGTTCCAGTGAGGACCAGTCCAGGCTTGCAGCCAGGAAATATGCCAGAGTGGTACAGAAGTTGGGATTCCCTGTAAGTTGTTACTGGTGTAATTTCTGTGTCTCCACTGCCTGACAGTGGGTGTGATTTCAAAGACTTTTCCTAGTTCCCTTTGCTTTTTCATGAGTTTGTATCTCCACTAATAACATGTCTTCCCCTGTATTTTTCAGGCAAAGTTTCTGGACTTCAAGATTCAGAACATGGTGGGCAGCTGTGATGTGAAGTTCCCCATCAGACTAGAAGGCCTGGTCCTCACCCACTCACAGTTCTCAAGGTACATGTAGGACTATGGCAGAGACAGTCTGCAAGTCCAATTAATGTCAATTGATTCTAATATTAAAGGGCTAGGAATCTGGTAATGACTGTTTCTGGACCATTTCTAGAAATAGATTCCATTCACTTAACATCATGCAGTGTTTTTCGTCAGTGTACATGTATTTTTACTTTCCCAGTTATGAGCCTGAGCTGTTCCCTGGCCTGATCTACCGTATGGTTAAGCCCAGGATTGTGCTGCTCATCTTTGTCTCAGGGAAGGTAGTGCTTACTGGTGAGTACTGATGCACCACCTATGTTTGAAATGTACTCTTATGTAGTACTTTTCTTCATTGACGTTTGGGCCTTTGCTCAGTTGAGAGATCCATGAGAAACATCCAAATACATGTATATCATTACCGTGAACAAAGCACAAGATGACTTATATTCCTGAATCTCTCACTTTTTACATACAGGTGCAAAGGTGCGAGAGGAGATTTATGAGGCATTTGAGACGATCTACCCCATCCTTAAGGGCTTCAGGAAGACATCTTGACACCTGCAGCACACCTGCATATGCACCCTTGTATATAACGTTACCTCCTTCAGATTATATTTTCAGACACCCAAAGACACAGTTGTATGTTGATACTGTCATTATCTACCAGTGTATGTGGGACTTGCAGCATACAGGTCTCTGCACAAAAATTGGGAGAATTGCATTGGGTTTGACAGAAGTACTTTATTCCCATGCTCAATGAGTTCATTGAGTTGGATCATACTTTTGTAATGATGATGAGAAAATGTTCACTGTTGAATTTTTCTGGCAGGTTATGTCATTCCTTTGTAATTATAATCTTAGTAGGAATATTGACTCTCGGTTGTTTATTCTTCAAATGATTCTGTAAGGACAGCTCTCTATCAAGTTTCAGTGAAGAGAGTAATGGATTCAGAATGAAAGTCGGTCCATGTAGGCTGACTGCAACCCTTTTTACAGTCAGAAAGATCTGCAATCTCATGCAACACCTTGTTTTCACAACCCAGAAGCAGTACTTTCAGTTGAGGTGTACGTAAACGTAAAGTTGCAGCTTAGCTACTTGTCAGTAGATTGATTTGAGGTTATTGGAAATCATTTTCATTCTTTGTATATATTCTTACTACTTATCTACAGTACATTTCGTTAATTTTTACATGTTCTGTTCTTTTACATTCTTGGCTTTCCTGTATACTTGTAAATAATATGCCCATTTTCAGAGTAAGCACAATTGATACTCTCCCATGATGACCACATTTTGTTGTCGTTTTTCCTCCACGGTATTAAAAGAAATAAAACTTCCAGATCAGATGACTATGTTGTAGATTTCAGTTTGAATGGTTATAATAACCAGCATAACTATATATCACAAAATACTTATGATTCCCTTGGCAGACAACCAGCTCCTCAATAGTGAGGCCTTACAGATCATGTGACCATCCTGTCTACTAAAAAGACATAGACCAGAAGCAAAATTGATGCACTTTTATTCACTGGCAGCTTTACAAATACAATCATCTTGATCATGTAACACAGCAAAGACAGTGACAACTACACAGTAGTATCAAAAGACAGTATGGTGGTGCAGTGTTGTGGATGTTTATAGGAAGGGTGATAACTGGTAAAAAATCTTACATGTTCCAAACTTGTCTCATTTCAAACAAGATTATCACTCCTAAAGAAGGTAGCCACCATTTCACTAATGGTGGGTACCCTGGAGTTGGACAGTCATTGGTAGGGGAAACAATGGTACACATGTATTGGGTGCTAGGTAGGAACTTCTTCAAATGCAAAGTTGCTTCCACAGCTCAGAGGACTTGGATGTCTTTCCACAAACACATATGTTGATCTGTACACTTTGGTTGAAAAATTGACTGATAGCTGCACCAGTGTTGTGATTGTAAGTAGAGAAAAGTGAGGATAGGCCCACACCAACATCATCTCATCAACTGGCTTATCATGATGTACGAAAACACAGGCATGTTATACATGTGCATGTATAGCAAAGTGACCCAGTTAATTTTGTATTCCTGCATCTTCTGAGCTTCATTCTCACTTGACTTGGACTCCACAGCATCAAAATCTACTGATCAATAATATAAACATTTAGTCATATCTCTGTATAGTTTCTTAGGCCAACCCACTAAAAGGGTTATATCAACTTTCATGTTTCTGTCTCTCGAGATAATCCACACTTAGCACATTCAGTTTTAGTCATACCAATCTTTTTACTCTGTTCACAGCCCTCTACTTGCAAAAAGGAAAGGATATGAAAAATTTCCAACACACAGTTTCAGAGTACATTTCCTACAAGCCATCTAACTTCATTCCAAAGGGTCTGTAGAGCAAGGAAATAAATTGATATCACTCAAAAACAAATAATCATCTGTGAGCTTTTTGACAGCATTCATAAATGCATAAGATATAGGCCACAGCCTCTGAGGTATCTGTGATTATGTAACCATTCCACTTTATACAGTCAACTTCTTCCATTCCTGTAGCCACTTAAAGGTACAAACTTCATATTAGCTTCTTCTGTTGAGGCGTTTCTAACTTAAGTTCCTTCACACGTGTTTCAAAGTAAAGCTCCAGGCGGCGGCCACATCGTGCCTCAGTGGCGTGTGGTTGGTTGTACTGCTCACAGTTGGAGAAGACAAGCCGTGCATCAGCCAGGAGCTCAGCGGCAGTCTTGTAGACCATCTGGTTGAAGTTTGTGCGTAGTGTACTGAGGTCCATGGGCTTCCTGACCAGCTTGTAGTAGTCTGGTGCCTGGGGAAACAGTGAATGTCATGAATGCCAAACTTCTTAAAATTCTAGTTGTAACAATTCTTTGAAAGTTTCTCTTCATTGCAATGACATAGCTTCCTTCAATTCAAACAGCAGTACTGACCTCCTTCCTGCTGACCGGTTTGATGAAGGGCCAGGCGTCCTGATGTTTGACCAGTTCTGTCAGGAGGGTCTCACACTTGGTGGTCCAGCCGATCTCCTCTCCTCCGCGCAGACCTGAGGACAGGCGTCGGCTCGACCCAGACTCCCTCCTCGTGTCAGGAACACGCGGGGATGACGGGCGTCTGCTGCTGGAACTGGCATCTTTGGGGAGAAAAATCATCTCCATTAGGCTCTTTCAAGTATAAACACATCCTGCTCAGCAGAGGAATGCAGTCAACACATACTCCTTAGTAATGAATAGCGAGCACTCTTGTTCAGAAACCCATGTATTTAGTAAGATTAGAAAACACCCACATACCTTGTGATCGTCTCCTGTTGTCCTTGTCCTTTGTGGCACTGATGACTTTGATCTGACTCATTGAAGTGCGTTCAGGTTTCTTGATTTCCTTAGCCCTTGTCTTGGCCGACTTCACATCTGATGCTGAAGACTCTTCTGAGCTCTCTATCACAGCTTTTCGAGGACGTTTACTTGTGGCCAGTACCACTTCTTCCTGAGAGTCCCCAGAGCTCTGCAGGACTTTCTGTCGCCGTGTCCTCTTGTTTGCATTGGACATGTCGCTGTCTTGAGAGTCTTCATCTGTGTCCACGGTCCCACGCTTCTGAGTGGCTGCACTGCGCTGGGAGCTGTTGCTCCTTGGCTTGCTGCTTGGTGCAGGATCTGGCAGGATGTTCCTCCTGGTGCTGCGGGAGGTCGTCCTTTCCTGGCTGTTGGCTCGGCTGTTAGATCGGCTGTTATTGGTGGCTTCAGCACGAGACCTTGATGATGAAGACTCTGCTCTTGAGGAGGGGCGTGACCCTTCTTGACTGCTGGCTCCCTTCCCTTGAGATTTGGCAGCAGGTTTTTGAGCCTTTTTTCCCTTCTTCTCATCTGTAACAGTAACGTATTAACTTTATTCACCTTGGCCCGAGCACTACTTATCATTTTTGCTTAAAACTCAGATACATGCTTCAGTGCTTATTCAAGGACACATTTAATGTAAAGCTTTACATTTCTATAACACTGCAATTCAAAGTTAAACTGTGGTGCATGTATGGTCAGGAATACCCCAACAAAAGATCGTAAGGTGTCTGGTTTTAAATATAAGAATGTTGCAGGAACAACGATTCGAAAAGACTTTCCAAGAAGCACACAGAAAACTGACCTTTGGTGCCCCTGCGAGTCCTCGCCGGCTCCCTGAGTACCCTGCCTGTGCAGTACTGACAGCGCCACTTGCCCCGTGGGGTGCGGTTGAGCGGAGGGTCTGCACACAGCAGGTGGAAAGCACAGGGACAGGTGTCACACAGCACCAGCACACCACCGTCACTACAGATGGAACAGATGTCTGCATGCTCCATCTCTGTAGCCACAGCCTCCTCTTCCTCTTCTTCTTCTGACTCCTCCTCCTCCTCAGACCTGCATTTTTTCAAACCACATTACATGGATCTGACTTTTCACTCCCAATAATTGTTACTCCAGCCAGATCTAAACCTGTTCCATGAAATTTTCATGCCCTTCAAAAGTCGTCCTTAGATTCCCTGGCTCAAATAGATTTAGTACTTACTCCTCTTCATCACTGTCCTCCTGCTCCTCTTCCTCATCACTCTCTTCTTCCTCACTCTCACTTTCTTCATCCTCATCCTCCTCGTCAGACCTGCATGATAATACATACTAGTCAGTCTCAGCAATACACGATAGACCAGAGTTCTACTTCAACAAACTTGTGCCCTCTTATTCAGATATAAGGTAGAGGAGCTTTGCAAGTTGAAGCCAACTGGCAGCTGCTGTTTTTTATGGGTTCACCACACCACGAAGTGGTGTGGTGAAACCATATTGCTTTTTCTGGTGTTTCTTCTTCTTCTTCTCCTCCTTCTTCTTCTCCTGCCATTTTTTAAATGGATTCAGCTTCTTCATTTTAGGGCCTAAGGTCCTGAAATTTGGTATGGAGGTACAGTGGGCAAATACCCCTAGGCGTTTTTAAATTTTGTGATACAGGCTTTTAGAATGGTTTTATTTGAGTTTTTGGCTGTGTCATAGCAAATGTATTACTGTGTTAGTGTGCCTTGTTTACCACGTTTGGGCATGAGTCATCACAATGGAATGCAGGGCATCAACCAATAGGCATGCAGCTTTCCTCTATACTTCTTGCTGATTGGCTGTTGGGATTTAACTTGATTAACACCTGCACAGAAGCATTTCCATAACAGACAGTATGTCTGTATTCAAGTGTTTTGGTAGGTATTTCAAGCTTTCCTGCTCCAGCATTGGAATGCCGGGCATGGAC